ACCAACAAAGCAGTGCCAGGAGCAGAGCTTGTCTTTTGGACCCAGGGTCTCTGTGTGGAGAAGCTCCTAGTCTGGGGGAACACTGATGAGATGGCCGACAAGAAGGAGAAAGCCTTTCCCTGGAGCTGACGCCCTGAACTTGGACTTTTAGCCTACTTGACTGTGAAGACATAAATTTCTCTTTGTAAAAGCCATCCACTTGTGGTATTTCTGTTGCAGCAGCACTAGATGACTAAGACAAGCTCAGAGACCCCATTCGTTATTTCAACATAAAGGCAGTGTGTTCTAGTGAGAGGTATCCCTGATCACTGAGACCCCGTTAGGGAACAAAGGGTGTGCTGGGAAGCTGCAGGTCATACACACTCAGCTGATCTTCCACTGGCTAGTGCTAAGAACCAACAAGGCTGTAGTTCTGGAGGACAAGGTGACTCTCCTTCGCTAATTCTCTAAAGTGCATCAGTTCACTCAAGCAATGGCACCATCTTGGAATGTCTCCCGCCTGAACGTGGTTTTTATTTCCCACTCTCCCCTTCCTCGATGATATCCTACACCCTCATCCCACGCACTGGTAAAGGCAATACTCCGCCAAATCTTTCTATCCCTGGACATTCCCTCTTCAATGTATCCTACCAGTCCATGCCAGATAAATCTTCCTAAACCATTATGTCATTTATACCAACCCTTGGGCCCCAAAGCTTCAAGGTTCCCTTCAATCTTAAGTAGCCTCTCCACCATCACTGAAAAACCTTCCAGCTCATCTCATCCTCTCCACGTCTGTCTCCAGGCAGCATGACACAGTTGTAAAGATCCCTGGGTTTGAGGTCAAGTGAACAGGGTTAGAAGCCTGATCTCACCTCTTAGCAGTTTGACTTTGGGCAAATCCTTCATCCTCCCTAAGTAAGCTTCCTCTTTAGTAAAACTGGAAACATGATAAAAACTATCTTTGTTAGGTTTCTGTGAGATTTAAATGCAACACTCTTAGTAAAAGTCCAGCTTTTAGTAAGTGCTCAATACATGTCGAGACTATTATCATATATTGTTTATAACCAATCCCTCAGCTGGCAATGTTCCCCACTCCTCTGTATATGTTCAAGTCTTAGCCATCTTCAAAGTCCTTCTAAATGTCCATGTGCACCAGGAAGTTGATAGCTCCCCTGAATCTGCTGTGCATTTCCTGCCAGATATTTGATAGAGCGTGCCTTGAATCACTCAGCCGTTCCCTAGGCAGTTATTATGTCCTTGCTATGGATCCACAAAGAATTGCACTGAATTTTGCAGGTTTGATGATGACTAAGATTCTCAAGCTATTCTCTCAGCCTCTATCAGCAGAGTGTCAACCCTATGATGACAGGTACTGTCATTTTTCTATGTCATCACAGGGGTTGAGGTCTAGATACTGAAGATAGAGTTGTTGGTGAGCTATAGTTGCTGGAATTATGTTCCCAATGTCTGGGAAGTTTTGTCTGTGTATACTGTGAGTCTTCAAGGACATGCCAATCTCCACTTTCAAAAACAGGTCATTCACAGATTTCCCAAAAACCTCCAATGTTCTCTTTCCAACTTCAATTCCAAAAGTCATGACAACAGACTCTGCCCAAAACAACATTTCTCCTTTGCCAAAACTGCCAACAATAATTCAGGTCCTGACAATTTGGACTTGTTATTGTTTGGAAAAAAAAATTAATTCATCTTCTTTTTTTGTCGTGAAAGTTATCAGTCATTCCCCTCAAGAGCTACTCAAAAAGGACATGTTCAGAAATGTGGCTAGAGTGGACCAGGATGACTTGACAGCTGTGGACTGAATATTGTTGAGCTCAATTCTTCTGGAAATGCCTGAGGAGTCTATGCCAGGTAGACATTTGTTGCTTTGTTTAGGCATGATCTGACTCAGGGACTGGGGGCTACAGGTGGTGTGCAGGAGCAAGGAACTAGGCAGAGACGGAGACCGGCAGTCTCATAGCAATCCCGCCTTAGAGAGGTGTTCTCTGCCCATGCTCGCTTCCACTCTTCATCAGGCACAAATATCCAGAAAAACAAAAACGAAGCCAAAAACCCGGTGCTCTTCTGGAAGTGATGAAGTCTAGTAATATGAAGTCTATTAGTCAAAAAAATAAAAGCTTTCAAGGAGAACTTCCATCCTCTAGTGTTATTTGGGAGCCCTGGTAGTGCAGTGGTTAACAGCTCAGCCGATAACCAGAAGGTTGGCAGTTCGAATCCACCAGCCGCTCCTTGGAAACCTAGTGGAGCAGTTCTACTCTGTCCTAGAGGGTCGCTATGAGTTGGAATCAACTCGAAGACAACGATTTTTTTTTCTTTTTTTCTGAGTGCTATTTGGGAACTTGAGAGAATCATGGGGATCTAGAGCAGAACTTACCAACAGAATTTTCTGCAACGATAGAAATGTTCTATATATGGTCTGTGCCATATGAGTATTTGAAATGTTGCTAGCTTGACTAAGCAATTCAATTTGAAATTTTAATTCTATTTCAATTTAATAACCTTAAAATAAAATTTAACATGGAGACTAGATGAACCTCTGAAACTACTGCCCTAAGATAATCTTTAAACCTTAAACCCAAAATATCCCCTGAAGTCTTCTTAAAACCAAACAACGGTTTAGCTTAACTAGTAAAGAAGGTCTGCCTTGAGCATTGTGCTCTTTTCAGAACTATCTATACAGGATCGAATTGACAACAGCAACTCGAAAGATTAAATAGGAACCTTAGGGGGCAGTGAGTTCATGTTAATGCAGGAGGAACAATTCAGAAAAGGAGGCTGAGAACGGCTGCACAACTTGAAGAATGTAATCACTGTCACTAAATTGTACACGTGGAAACTGTTGAATCAGTGTAGGTTTTGCTGTGAATATTAACAACAAAATAAATAAAATTATTAAAAATTAATTAATTAATTAAATGGCCATCTGTGGGTAAACCTAAACCAAATCCATTACCATCAAGTCAATTCCAACTCACAGTGACCCTACAGACAGAGTAGAACTGCCCCATAGGGTTTACAAGGAGCAGCTGGTGGATTCAAATTGCCGACCTTCTGGTTAGCAGTCGAGCTCTTAACCACGGTGCCACCAGGGCTCCCATCTGTGGGTACGGGCTACCATACTGCATAGAGCAGGTTTAGAGCCGTCACTTAAAGTTCACCAAGAGTCTTTATTCAATACTCAATTTTTTCAAAAACTGTCCTAGAAGGAAACAGGTCTCAAAAACGTGCAGTCCTGCTCATGACCATGGGACTGCAAAACCAGTGTGAATTAGCAATCAATCCACTATCCCAAACAATCACAATTTTTCGAACTTCACCTACTTGATGGGCTTTTCCATGCTTCTTGCTATATAGCCTTAAGGACAAAACAACAATACAATAAATAAATAAACAAAAACTTTAAAAGGATGATCGTCAATTGCTTCTCTGTTTTGCAATCCGAGTGTCCTTGCATTGTGCTAACTGAAAGTCATAAGAAAAAACAGAATGCCTGATGGTGGGAGAAAAAAGAGCCGAGAACTTTTGATGGACAGCAAAGGCGTAAAGGATTGAAGGATCAAAAAACCCAAACCAAACCTGTTGCCGTCGAGTCGATTCCAACTCACAGCAACCCGACCAGAGCAGAACTGCCCCACAGGGTTTCCAAGGAGTGTCTGGTGGATTCAAACTGCCAAACCTTTGGTTAGCAGCCGAACTCTTAACCACTATGTCACCAGGATTTCCAAACCCTATGATTGTTCAAAATAGGAGGCATATGTGACAATAATCAGATAAAGTGGAAAGCGGATAAATTTTAAAATGTATTTTGCCAGCACAGCAGAATGCAACCCCAGGGCCCCATAATACTGAAGCTTCAAGGGCCCTAAAACATCATCCACTTAAAGCTGTCCTGCAGGCAAATTAGTAATTCGAAGCCCCGGGAAGGAAGTGCTCAGTATCCTTGAGATAAGAGCCAAGCTGGGTCCCAGATCGCCTGCTTTGTGCCCTCTCGCTATGCCCTTCACCCTCTTGCTGAGCACAGACTGAGCCCGCGTGGAGAACCAGCCTCCGCTCCATCCTCACTTGTCCCAGTCTCTGGTGAGCAGAGAACAGACTGACTTCACCAGGCTGTTCTGCTCGACACCAAAGCTACCTCCACTGACACAGCACTCCTAAAGACCACGCAACTGACCAGGCACGACGTGAAAAAGGACGTTATCGTAAACAAACGTTCCAACACAATGCCTTCCACTGAGACGGTGTTTGAGTATAACATGTATTTTGCCATGAAACTGGCTTGCATTGTACTCAAAAGATCCACGGGTTCAGGAGAGAAAGCTCAAAATTTCCAAAGCAAATGACTACTCATTACGTTTTTGGTGACTCGACGGACAATGAAAACATACTAAATTAAAAACAAACAATTGTTTTAAGGCGGGGGCTGCAATTTTCCTTTGGGAGCTAGAACTTAGATGTCATCTATCTCAAAACTCCCATTTTACAGGTGAAAAAAACTGAGATCCAAGACTAAATGACTTTCTCCAGGTTACACAGCTACGGAGTAGAACTGGGTCTTGGAATGTCTGTCTCCAGTTCAGAGCTTGCTTTAATCTAGAAAGAATAGTAAGATAGATGTCTAAAATCAGAAAAGAAAAAAGAAAAGGACAATTATCCTGTAGACATCACAGTTATTTTTAAATGTTTGATATTTTCTATTTGAGCTGCATTTTGACATAAAATTTCCGAGGGTTTGGTATGTCATTACATGGAGTACTGATGGGAAAAAGAAAATATGTCTCAGCAACCATGTAAAAGATCAGGGAATAAGTCTACTTAACTGTCTGAATTTCCTAAACTATTCCGGCCCTCAGATAATCTGCCACGTTACTGCCAATAAGAGCAAGAGATAAAGAACACGGTACATTTTAAACGTCACGTACTCTGAATTGCATACTGTGCTCTTATAAATGACTCCATCAGAGTAAAAGAAAACACTAAATAAACACAAGAACAGGGCTTACATTCTGGTGCTGCTGGTCTTGTTGATGATAACAGATTTCCCTGTCTGATCCACATTGTGATCCAGCCCAAAGTAAGCCGCCACCCGATGGACAAGCATCCTCTGATACGATGACATCTGTGGGAACTTTTTATAATGATTACTGCAGCGGAATGCAAGAAAAAGCGCAATCAGCGTTCCCGTTTCCGTCCTGTGTTAGGTTTGACAGGTACACCCACAAAACCATCTCTCTTTCATCCCAGCCACGAAGCCAATTTCATCTCTGGCATCACTTCATGTCCTCATTTCCAGACACATTTCCCACTTCTTATGGATTTATTGATTAAGCTACAATAAGTATCATTGTTTCAGAGTTGCATATTTCTCTTGCCAAAGAGAACTTAATGGCTGTTGGAAAGCATTTTATTCTGGTCGATGATACCTTATCAACGTAGCCAGGCACAGGACAAATGATGTGACATAATACGTGTCTGCAGATGACTGTCTGGAGATGTATCATTACAGTGTGTGCAGGACAATTATTTCCAGGCATAACTGACTGCAGCCAGCTGGAGCCCATTAAAAAACTATAATAAAAACGAAAAGGGTCGCTTCTTGTTACAACTACTCTACGCTAATCAGCGGCCCCTGTTTATAGCCATTTCGTCAGCAATTTAACAAGCAGGCGCTCACATGGTCCAAGTAACAATTCCCATCAGCATATACCTCCTAACTTCGACAGCAGCCCCACTGAACAAACCAGGGAACTAATGAAACGATGCTTTATATCTATCCCTAAATAGGTAATTAAATCCAAATATCAAACTAAGACCCATCGTGTAAATTAACCAGCATTACAATTGGACATACTTGTTGTCAGCAATGAAATCAATAATTTCCTGCTCCATTTTCAAGAGTATCATCCTGTCCCTGAAAAATAAATATTAAAATAATTTTTTGGGTGAATTTTCCATTCCCAAAAAAGTTCATTTAGACATATGTTGCACGTGGCTGCGTTGTCCATTTATATACTATTTCATTATACTTAAGATTTTTTTCCTCCCATTTGCTAAGTATTTTATAATACTGGAACTTTTGTAGTTTCAGTGTTATGACATGCAAGGTCTTAGGTCTATAAAAAAACATGAAATAAATAGCATATTTCATATGAATAGGAGACTGGAACAATCCACTGTAGATGGATACCTAACTGCATTGAAACATCACTGGTTTATTTAACATCACTAATTTTCAGACTCCTGTTCTTCTCTTAGGAAGTTTCTTTTTGTGACCAGAAATGCAGAACTGGTACACTATCATTTATTCATCGGGGTACCTTCCCAGGAATGAAGACTATCTGTGAACAGTAAAACATGCAAACTATAAACCAAAACGAGAAAATACAGGAGCTGGTGTAAGACATCGGGGAGGGGGCCTGCATTTTAAAACTGTCTTCCTGGAAAGATTTGGATTCACTACTTGGATTCTAATATTCCATCTGAACTTTATAAAAATAAGAGGCTTATTTAAGAAGTTACCTGGAGTTATTCTTTAATGTGTTAATCAGAAACTCGTGTAAATCTATGCCTGTAGAATCCGTATATTCTTGGCTGCAATCTGAAATAAACAGCAGGACGGGGTTGTCAGGAATGATGGTGGAGAGGTGAGGGAGGGGCGTTTTCCAGTCTTTCCTGTTCCCCTGTCGCTGAGGTAAATTTTAGGTGAAGCTATTGGTGTGGAAGATACATGTTTCAAACTAGCAGCCTGGCAGTATGATATCAGAATGAAAATGAGATTTGAGGATTGGGAACATGCAGGAGATTCTGAGGCTGGGAAAGTCCACCTGTCACAGGCAGGGAAGTGGGCACCGTCAAGGTAGGGGTGAGGAGGGCTGGATGGAGTCACACGTCACCTGTTCATTCTGGACTGTAAATCACCAAGGGCACACCCCCCACACTTAGGTACTCCCTGCCCACACAGAGAGGGCTCACGAGTTTAAGATCTCATGGAACTCTCCCTCTCTTTAAAACTGAGAAGGCGGAGAAAATGAACACCAGTTCTGTGACAAGAATATCTAAATATTAATCAGTATAAAACACAGAAGGTCACTATTGCCAAGTCTTCCAAGACTCCCTCTGATGCTAGCTAATGCTTCATTTCTGAAACGGTTTGAGGAATCTGCACCTCCTTCCTCTCATGTATACACCTTGGATTTTAGCCATGCATCAGTAGAGATGACCGTGACGAGCAGGTGTGCAGCTGGGAGCATAATATTAGGAGCAGCCGATCAAATGCCCTAGTCCTTCTCCGGTATTAAAAAACAAACCCTAATGCAACCCGTTTATTCACATGAATCTCTTCTGACTTCCTTGACATTCTTCATTTCAACTTTTTTTGTTTTTTTCTCTATACGCTTACACGTACAGTGACAACTTGAATTCTGAACTGAATTTTAGGTTTGGGGGCTTCAGAAGGATTGGCCTTTTTTCTTGACAAACTTGTTATTGAAGTAGACGTGTGTTTTTTTTTTTTTAAAGAGAACTTATGAGGTAGTATATATGGATAGGTGCAGGGATCAAATTCATGGGTCCCCGATAAAAGGTTACACATGCATTCCACTGACATCTACAACTATGCTTGGGGGATCTCACCACTTCTTTACTGAAAATTGCTCATCCTCTTTTGTCTTTTAAGATAAACATGAGAGTTAAGATATAAAACTGGGTGTCTTCACTGTTCATCAATCCAAGTGATTTGAAGCAGTAAACCTGAATTAAGACAGATTTGTATTCGCTCCATCGTGTGGGTTTGTCACTGGAATCAGGAAAGCCAAATGGAAATCTAAATAAATATGTGATCCTGAAAAAAACAAGAAACAAAAAACCCACCCTGGCTACACAAATAATGACACTGTGAACAGAAAGAGAATCCAATTCACATCTTCTACACATACACATACCTACACACACAGAACCATGTGTGAGCAGCCTGGTGGCAGGTGAATAGCCGTGTGAAATCTAGAAGGTATTCTGTGACTAATTATGTGCCCAAATCGAGTAAGTTAAGGAAACATTTCCACATTCACCTTTTGATAACATTCTGATCTTGGGTTTTTCAGAGGTTTTATCTTTGTTTTTATCCTTTTCTTTTTCTCTTTCAGAGTCATCTTTCCTAGATTTATCATCCTCTTGCAGGCTGGGAAAACTGGAAAGCTGTAAGTGAATTGATTCCTGTTGGGGAAAAAATATAATAATTTAGGGCCAGATTTAATCATCTCTGCCTGGTTTCCCATTTTGCACAGAGGTTATTAAGTACAAGAAAAAGAAAGCCAGGTGCAGTTTTTTTTTTTTTTTTTTTTTCTTTAACTGGTAAAAATTAAACCTGTCAGAAAAATAATTGCCCTTTAAGGAGAATTTAACTTTAGAAGTCAATGGGAGGGCATGCGAATCATCTAATACTAAAACTTTGCCTCATGAATATTGACTTTAAGCAAGTTAAATGCCCGTAGATCACAACTCTTATTTTCTCTACAGGTTTACTTTTCAACATTAGGAAAAAAAATTCCTTATCAGTAAGCTTGCATCACAGCTACTATAATGTCTCAAAAAAAAAAAGCCTTCTGTGGTTCTTTTCTGTAATTCCTTACACGGAGAAACTGGTACAAACACAGACAGGCACACATTATGAATCATCACTACAGACAGAACAGACAGAAATAAAGGCCCTAATAGCCAATTCACAATAAAAAACCTATTTTAGAACTGTATCAACAATGATTTCTACTACTATGAAAAAACAAACTATACAATTGCAGGGATACTAGATATATAATATTTTCATAATTGTTGACAAATGCCATTAATAAATCATCATGATGTATAGTTATGATAAGCACCACCTTTTAGAAAAGGTAGAAAGTATAATTATATTTACCATAAATGAAATATAATTATTTAATATTATTTTCATTTTAGTATCAATCAATCCTTTCCAAAGTATAAGATTCTCCTGAACCAATGCCATATCAGATCAATCATTTCAAGTATTGCGGCCGGATCCCCTTTTATGCTTTTTTTTTTTTTTTTTGCACTGAAAACAGATCATTTTGTATTAACTTTTATGAGCCATTTGGTTGATTGAATGTTCATTGTTTTGAAGAAGAATGAGCCAAATCATGTTTTTTTTTTTTTTTAGTTGTTTGAAAAATCTATGCTATGATTAAAACTATGACAAATGAGCCAATATTAATTCCACCTGTTCTTATGTAAGAGCTTACTTGACAGGAAAGCTTTCTTTCACTAGTGACATTAAAATTTATGATGTAGGGAAGAAATATATGACTAATAGCATCTCTCACTAAAACTAAACTAAGGCTCCCTCTACATGTGACTGTGCTGATGCCTGTGCCGCCTCAAACTATAGTCAGTCTGCGTTCTTAGCAGTTCTTCTTAAACTTGGCCCATCTGGTGGGCAGAAGTTAAATACATGGTTGGCGAGTTAGACACATGGTTGGCATAAACAAAGCCAAGTTTCTCTTTAAGGAGGGGCTCCACTGTGACACCACTGGCTGGAATAAAAAGTTACCAAGCTTGGAAAGACACGTGATACAGAGAAGGAAACAAAACACGTCTCATGCCAGCTACGTATCTAAGGCTGGTTTCCTGACACGCAACATGTTTATCCTGGGGATGGACCTACACAAAGTATGTAAAACTGAGTGTAATTTGATTCTAGGGTCTCTTATCACATCATTTGGGATAGAAAAGTCTTAACCTGCAAAGCTTCAATAAGGTTCTAGGATTATGACTTGTTTCTACTTGCTAAGGAGACAGGTGGAACATTTCTGGCTCTGAAAACATGGCAGGGGAAGGGGAAGAATCAATTGGACGGGTGATCAAGAGGGGAAACTGAAGGTACCCAAACCATGAAAGCGGTCTCATTGCTTCTTCAAAACTGGCTGAACCATCCAGCCTCTGTAAGTTTAAATCTAAAATCAAAGAGGCTTGGACATAGAAATGCAAGAGCAGGCGCTAAAGAACTCTGTCTACAAAAACGGAGAAACTGATGCTATGTGTTGACGAATATCATGCTCAGAAAAATACGTGTCTTTTCTATACAGAAATATACATTAAGCTGTTGAAAGAACACACAAAAGTGCTATAGAGTTGGTAAAAAACAATCTGTTATTTTTTAATATTTTTATTGAGATGCTCAATAATAAAATACAAGTGTTAATAAATACATCGGTACAGGATAAGTTTATATCCAACAACAGTAAAATAAAGATTCAAGTTGCAGTAATACACTGATGGGTAAACAGTATAACATTAGAAAAGCAAAACTCTTTGAACTTAAGGACAGACTGAACCATCAGGTCTGGGTCTGAGATCAAGTAATACAGGTAGCAAGAGTTTTTCCCCCACAGGAAAATGAAGGCAGTTCTCCAAATACTGTGAATGTACAAACATTGGGGAAGCAGTACAATCCGTATACTGTATACCTCTGCCAGTGTTCTCTGGGATTCAACTTTCCACACTTTGTAAATGCCAGTGGTACCTAGTGACAGCACTGCATCTAAGCGCAAAGGTCTGCTCTTCTACTCTCTAAGAAAGCAGCATGGCCCCCTGCTTATATGTGTGTCTGGATATTTTCTATCAGCCCCCTACTCCCGCCATCCCTCAGCCAGTGCAAAGAGGAGCTTGCAGGATCTAATTCTCCCCTACAAAGCTAGTCTTGGTTTCTGAGCTTGAGCCAGCGGGAACAAAGCACCGTTTGCCTCTGATTTCTCTGCACCAATTGTATGGAGAAACTAGACTTAGGTCCAGGACGGGCACTATGACACAGGTGATCCCTTAAAAAAATTTCCTCCTGGGACCTTGTCAAATGGGACACAAGACAGATTAAGTCCTCCTCTGCCTGGCGTTAGGAGTGGGGGGCAGCTGGGACATTACTTCTCCCAGGGTTTGTCAGTCTGCAGAGGTACCATGGATCATGTGCAGTGCGTTACAACCATCCGTCAACAGTTAACGATACAAGCTGTGATATTCACATTGTCTCCTCTTTTCAATCTCCAGGAAAAATAGAAGCACAAATAAAACGCCGAAGAAAAGCCACACGTTTCTCAAGGCCCAGGTGAAATAAAGCTTGTGTTTGAAACATAGTGATGGCAACTGAAGGCCTGCCCACGCCTTTTGACATGAGTGGCATGTTAAGAAAATGGGGCAAGGGGAAGAAAAAAAAACCACACCCACACACACCCACACCCACACCCACACACACATCCCCCCGCCCCAACACACACACATCACTCCACTCTTAGGACAAAATCTATAAGGAATTTATTTTTGGTCCTTTTAAAGAAAGTGCTCTTAATGCTCTCTGTGTCCATGAGGAGAATTTAGAGCATTTCAATGGAAGTAAGAAAGTGAAAAGCAAAACAAAACAAAACTTGCAACTATTGATGGCTTAATCAATTTTCCCTCCCCTGGGCTCAGATAAATCATTTTACTTTTGCCTTGACTGCTCTCAGCCTCTGAAAAAAGAAGGGGAATTACAGCAGCAAGACTGTTTATATAAAAGCTATTATGATGCCTAAAAGGCACACAAAAATAAATATGATGTGAAGTTTCCCATTTTGCCATGGATGAGTTGTGTTGGGATTTGAATTTTTAGAACCTAATAATCTTGCTGTAAAGGAGCAAAAATAAGGGTAAGGATACACAGAGATATATTAATAATATTAACTTAAATTCACCATCAGCTCAGAGTCATTTCTGGACCATATTTTCAGGATGGAGAAACCTCCACCAAAGCCCATAAAAGTATTCTGCCAAAGTTCAATGCACCTCATTACTATTTTCTTAAGTTTCATAAAAGCCAAGAGTTGTGTTTCCTCTAGGCAAGCGTATCTCGGAGGACTGAGAGATAAGACATCCCCACTAAGGAGGGAGACGGCAGACTTAGGACTGTATTTGGTGCAGCCTTATCAAGAGAGAGACTGAGGAAATACCGCACTGCTGTGCTTACTTTTTATTTAAGTTTTAATCTAAATTCTTTTGCATTCCTTTTCATTTGCAGTTTTCAGAGGGTCTGGAAAAAAGCAAACGTAATACTCTGTGACAAACTGTAAAAACCATTTTAGAATGTCTCATAAACAGGGGATGAAGCCAGAAAGCTAAGTCTTGTCTTCAATTATTTTTGTTTTTCCTCCCCCAAAACGCTAGTTAGCACCAAACTAACATACATGCACACAGAGGTGGACTCCGTTCATGCAGCTAACGATAAAGGCAGGGGAGATACCTGATCCTGAAGACTTTCGCCTCCTGGTCTGGCTGATGACTCCTCACACACAGCAAGACTGCGAGTCAGTTTACCTTTCCCTGCTCCTGACTGCGGGAGGGCGAAAGAAAAAGGGAAGGCAAGGAAAATAAAGAAGACAAACAGAAAACACTCTCAGGCCAGCAAAACATCTCCGTGTTTGCATTAAATTCTCAAATCAGATTCATAAAACTGAGCTCCAAGGTGGTTACCCAAGGCTGTCTCCGTGGGCCCCAAGCACCAGACCCCTGTGGCTCATGGGAGTGGAGGGCCAGGAGTCTGAATGGATGCATTTAAGGTACACTGTCAACAAATCATGCCCATCACATTGAGAACATATGGATGAGGAATAAATCATTGTCACTTCGTGAAAATGCAAGGAGAAAAAAAATGACTCAAAAAAAAAGAATTTCTACTAAAACTCAGTTTGGAAGGGATTTGACTGAAAAGATGCTTGAAAGGCGGAAGACTTTGTAATAACACCAAGTTTACTTCAAGTTAGAAATCAGTTGGTGAGATGGAAACATTTTACCCTAAGTTTTATTTAAATAAAATTTGTTTAAAAACCTACTTCTTTTGGAAAGCACTGTCAATCTCCAAGGGTAAAAACGGGATCAAATGTATACATCTGCAGCTATGCCATACACCAAATGCTCCAATTAAAAAGCCCACAGAGTGACGTGGAAACACACACTGGAACAAAACCCCAGTAGAAGTAGACAGCAACAGAATAGCCAAGATCGACCACAGTATCAGTGCACACCCATCTGGACTGCTGGCAAGCCCTTTAACTCCAATGTGAAACTCAGTTTGTACCCATGATATCAGGTCTACACAGAATCTCTCGAGAACCCTACCTTAGATTTTCTTCTCTCTTGGTTCTGAGCCTCCAGCCGCCTCTGTGTGTTAGAAAAGAAAACAAAATACAAAATAAAACAAACAAACAGTATACCAACAACCACCAGAGAGAGAGAGATGTAAAAGGTGTCACTACAGTCGAGAAATCAACAATAACAGCAAGGAGGAATTATAATCACCAGGGAGAACTCTTCCTTTCCCAGCTTCTCAAAACTTGACCATTGAACCTTTAGCTCTCTCTCCTCACAGCAACTATTGGAGAGGGGAAAAATCCCTCTTGAAGACTGGCCATTATGTGATTATGTGCAATACTTACAGGCTATTTGTAAGCACAATTTATCTCTACCAAATCTCTTTGTCTCATAATCCTGGCATATTTAATCACATTACTTTTTCAGTCCTGTCAATCACTCTCATTCTTTTTTTTTCTTTTTTCCCCTCCTTTCTGATCTCTCTGAGGTGTGAACTCTAGGGTTTAGGATGGCTTGCTAATAAGATTCAAACCTTACAATGTCCATGAAGGTTGACACAGCTCACATCTGTGATTTTTCTTACAACACCATGAGTTGGGCCTTCAGGTGTGACATGGAATTGCAAATCTATTTTTAAAAATTAACCATCCTAAATTTGCCACAGAACAGTAAACACATGGTATACCCTGAAGTGGTCTGGAAATAGGTACTGGGATGCTGTGTGCAAATTCTGACATCAAATACTTTCTTTGGAAATTTTTCATTTCAAAAGGCATCTGAGGGCTCAAATCAGTAGGGGAAAAAACAGCCGATCAATACTGGGAAAGAAGAGGATTAGCTTTACGGGTTTCCTACTCATTTAACTAGTCAAATTCTAAGAAGGACATGAAGAAGGAGGAGAAGGAGCAGGAGGAGAAGGAGCAGAGGAAGGAGAAGGAGCAGAAAGAGAAGGAGCAGAAGGAGCAGAAGGAGAAAGCAGAAGGAGAAGTAAAAGGAGCAGGAGGAGAAGGAGCAGGAGGAGAAGGAGCAGAAGGAGAAGGAGAAGGAGCAGAAGGAGAAGGAGCAGAAGGAGAAGGAGCAGAAGGGGAAGGAGCAGGAGCAGAAGGAGAAGGAGCAGAAGGAGAAGGAGAAGGAGCAGATGGAGAAAGAGAAGGAGCAGAAGGAGAAGGAGCAGAAGGAGAGGAAGAAGACAACGACAATGCATTCTATGAAGGAAGGAAGCTGCATACCAGGTGTGAGAATCGAAACTTTTCAGGCTCACCTGCAGTTCCAGCTTCTCCTCTTCATCCAGACTCTCCGATTTAACTATGCCGTTCTCTGGCGTGGCCGCCTCCTGTTCAGTCCTGCCTTCCCCCACTATTGCCTGATTCAGGTCGCTTTGCTCAGACATTCTCCCAGACACAAATTAAAATAACAAGGTTTGATGCCCTGGAAGGTGAAGATGCCAAAAAATTCAATTAGTGGTGGTGCAGTATTTACTAATACCCTTGAGCCATTTCATTTCTCCCTTATTTTCAAATCCAAATAAGCCACTCAGGCATTCCTGCCTGCTTCATAGAAAAGGAGAATAAAATAAGATCAAGGACTCAGGGCATACACAGGAGGCAGATGGGGCCACCCCATCTGTACCCCCTACACACACACACACGTGGATACACCTTGCCATCAAAATGGGTCAACAAATCTCACATGGAGACGTATAACCCTTGCATATGCACCAATCCCCGTGCCCCACTGCAAAGAGGGAGAAGAAGAAGAGACTATTCCTCTAACTCCTGACGCTCGACTTCTGAGTCAAGAGGTGGTGTCAGCGTTCTATCACACAACAATTATTCACAAGGTTCAACCATAGACAACACGTTAAGAATACAGCACACTCTCCAAAGGGCAAGAATCAACTGAAGAGGTAACAATTCAGTATAAATATGGGATCTAAACTGCAAGAAACCTCTCAGGGTCATCACTTCCAGGCTTCAAACTGACAGCTACATCATTAAAAGCATAAGCTGCATTCCCAGCTCCCATCAGGAGCTGGTGCAGCGCAGATCCTGCAGAAGGAAGTCTCTGGCAGGCAGCTCTAATGAAGCTACTACAACTGAACTCCCCTAACTCTGGGCTCTCCATAGGCTACTATGCAGATGCTGGAAATGGCTTTTCAAAGTTAAAGCTTGTTACTGTTTTCTCTCCCTGCCGCTGTAAAACCCTGGCCACCTCTCTCTGATGTGTTGTCAAATGAGGCCCATGAATAATTTAGCATTTATTTCCTCTTAATTCTTTTTTTTTAAGATGTGGGAAAAAGAGAAAGAAAAGGAGAGAGAGGAGAGAGAGAAAGAAAGCAAAAAGAAACTGTAGCTTAAAAAGTCAGTTCTTTCACAAAAAACCCCAAGCAATGACTGTCCGGGCCCCAGTGACTACAATGGTGATTATTATTAGACAAACCAGTGTTTTGATGTTTCTCTGGGAGCATTTAATTACCATGTACAGATTCAGTGACTTTATTTCCACTGGAAAGAAGAGGCATGAGAAAAATCTAAAACCCAGCAATTTTTGTTGCAAATTGGCTAAAACCCACCATGACAGAGCAGATGGTATCTAATGATACCTTTAAAAAAAAAAAAAAAAAAGCAAGCTCATTTAGAAAAGGATTCTGGGAATTTAAAAGAAAAGTTTTCCAAAAGGACAGTGGTTGGAGTATTTGAACGCCTAGTGAGGGATGCTTTTAGGTTGTGGGAGGTTTCAGCATATTCCATCCTGGACATTCTAACCAATTTCTCATATTTCAGTGATACTTGATATGTGTGTATGTGTGTGGTTAAAAAATAAAAACTGCAGTTTCCCAACGGCAAACAGCTTGCTTCTCAAAGCACTGGGTCGGAGGAGCAGAGAGGACTTCTATTACCCTAACTCTCTTTCAGAGCATTTCAATAAAGAACAACAGATCGCAACCAAACTGGCAATGTGGTGAGCAAACTGAGCTTTAATTTTCCAAAGTATAAGCCAACTGAGTTCCCAGTACAGATCCTGCCCGTTTTGGCTGCATTCAAAATGAGCTCTTCTCAGCAAACAAGCTCATTTGTGTACACAGAAAAAAAAAAATACAGATGAGATGACAGACAGGCAGACAACAACATCGTTACCTTCCACGCAGGGTTCCTGCTGTACGTCTGGACAACTTACTAGCGGCTTCTGCCGTTCTACGCCAGGAAAATCCACACAAGTGATCAGAGACAGCCGGAGTCCCATGTCCCCATTAACAGTTCGGAATGTCCATCTCCATGCCCTTACACAGTTGGACACATCATCGTCCACCTGAAAAAAGACGAAAAGTAAATAATAATAATTGCAGTGATCATGGTAGGGGTGAAGGACGAAATAAATCAGACCAGTTTCTAACAGTAATGACCAGCTTCCAGCAAATCACGTTCACAGCTTGATCCGGCTCCACCTGTCTCAAGCTGCCTCCTTCTTGTCTAATGAAGGCTACAGCCGGCTGTTCAAGTCAGCACCGCACCCACGCAGAAGCTAAAATTAACAATTGCATTATGCACCCAAGATTACTCACTTCAGTTTTAACCTTTTTTAGTGAAATCTCGCACTTTGTATATTTAAAAAAAAACAAGCTTGTGTGTTTGCTTCAATGAGAGTCAAGATTACCTATGAGCAAAATTCTTGCCTCCTTTTTTTTTAAACCAAAGCCTTTGTCTTAATTACTGATTAATATGATATACTTCAGTGCTGTTTCCGTGATTCCTTTTTTTTATGAAAGTTATCGTAATGAAGCGTAGTTCAAGATTTTAATTAAATGAGGCATGGTCCATAAAAGCGGAAGGAAAAAAAGAAGGAAAACTTCCGTAACGGCATGGCCGAGAAAGTGCCTTCCTGTCCACTTACAATTTGGGAAGAATTCTAGTATTCTTGTCAGGTGGGGAACGACGCCCATCCATCACCCCTCCCTCCCCATCGGGATTGCCAACTGGACATTCTGTCTGACGGCAGAGAAACGCTGTCAGAGGGATTCGACAGATTTGCAAATTTCCAGCCTGTTGAAAGCAATCCATGCTCTAATGTGCTCTTTCTTTTTCGCACAACTCCTACTGGAGTAGCAGCGAAGACAGCTTGAATGCAAACATAGAAACGAGTTCCTAATAACATTTGCCAAAACCAGGCGGTATCTCTTTCCTTCTGCTGCAACGCCACTCTGGTGCAGACCCGCGGGATCCAACAGCAATGCTCACCTCTCCCATCAAACACCCCGCCTGTGAAACCCTAAATGCATTCCAGTTACTTAGGCTGAAGGTTGGAAATGCTTTCGGCCTTGCCTTCCCTGCTCCCCTCCCTGACACCTCCCCTCCCCAAGTTAAAATGAGCACAGCTGGCTCTTCCTGGGATTTTACTCTGGCTATATTAACAACATATTGGGTTACAAAGCCATTTGTTGGGCAAGAGGAAAACAACTGTTGAAATGGGATCACTTATACGGTCAATAATTTCTGGTTTTGTTCATAGTTTAAGATGAATAATTTGCCTTTTAAACTATGTTTCTTTTGTTGTTAGAAACTGTGTAGCTCTGGGGAGTAAGCAAACATGCATTTAGGACAAACACTGCTTGCTAATCAACAGTCATTTGAATTTTTCAATTTTGACCAGATTTACCATGGCTACTATGACTAACACTCTATATTAAATAGAAGCTACCATGCCTTCAAATGAGACTCTATTTGAATTACCAGCTCATTATCTAGGATGTTCTGGGATAGGCTCCAGGGATGGGTGAAATCACCAAAAGCTTTTTGGATTCTTTTTTTTTTTTCTTTTCCCAAGGAGAATGAAATTCTCAACAATCTCCACACCCTTTGCCTCCTTTCTTTGCCCCTCAGATTTGTACCCCTTGTCATCAAGTTGATTCCGACTCCTAGCGACCCTATAGGACAGAGAAGAACTGCCCCACAGGGTTTCCAAGGAACAGCTGGCAGATTCGAACTGCCAACCTTTTGATTTAGCAGCCGAGCTCTTAACCACTGTGCAACTCGGGCTCCCATGTTCGTACAGCGGCACGGACAACCACAACAGGCAAAGGGCAAATCTAAGCCCTAGAGGCATTATTCTGGCCTCAGCAGGAAGATGCAAGATATCATTCTTTCATCTAGAAAGGGAAAAAACAAACTGGTATTCACACTGTACGCAACCGACTCAAAGAGCAAGGAGCCTGGATATGCGCGTGTGTGTGTAATTACCAGGACACATTTTGAAATAGCACTGAGCTCCAAAGTCACTGAGGTATTATTCTTGCATGCCTGAATCATAAAGTCATCATCTACTGAGATATAAGAGAATATGGGCATATGGGAATGAGCAGAGAGGAACATATGGAGGACAAATATTTTTGTAACCAATTAAAATTGTTCTCTTTGCTAAGAAAGCAGTGCCAGCAGTCAACTCTACTCCAGCCTTCTATTCTCCAAACTGACCTGACTCTTAAACTGCCAGTTAAGCTTCATCGGCTCCAATTGCTTCCATTTTCACAAAGAACCCAAACCATTTTTAACAGACATATGTATTTTCTCCAACATTTGATTAATCAGTGTTCCGGTCAAATTTCAACCGCCCTAGCGGAGGCATGGAGGGAGAACGTGGAGAGTAAGTACAAATACACAAAAGTTACTATAGTTCTTTGAGTGGAAGTCTTATTTTAACCACAGTTTTGGGGGTAGCACTTGGCAAAAGCAATCATGAAATTAATCAACAGTGGGGCAGCTACTTATAATGAGAAAAATGAGTCAAATAGTTACCATTTCACATTTTATTATCTGTAGTTTCTTATTTCTTTAGCTTACTTCAGAGTTGAAAAAAAAGGAGCATTTAGGATCCTGGGGACAAGAGAGAGGAAGAGAGAAGAAAGGCTCAAGGCAGGGCACCGACTATCCTGCCTTCCAATTGCCACCAGCAAAATGGGTGTGTCCTAATTATGTGTGTGTGTTACACGCATTAATCCCTGTGGTATCATGTGGGGGAAGAAAGATCAGAATCGGATTCAAATTCTAGAGTCAACAATGATTTAGTTCTCCGGGGATTTCTAAAATGGGAAATTAAAGTTGAATTCTATTAGCAAGTTGGGAGGGACACTTTTTGAGTCACTTTCCTCACAATACTTATACTAAAAATTAACGTAAGTCATGACTAATCTTGTCCCAAATTGGTATAGGTACTTTTTGAGGAAAAATCAAGAATAGTTAATGAATTGGCCAATTTAAATGTTTCCCATATGCGCTGTCCATTCTTTATTGGCTGATCACAGTTCCTCAAATATAACCACTTATAACGTGGTGATATTAGTGAAATGCCCATACGCTGCATCAGGCATTTAAATACTTCAACACTGTACAGTAAACCAGTGAAAGCTGGAACCTGGGTAAAGCAGAAACTTGACAGAGAAGGAAAATGCAAATATTTTCCACTAACAGGGAGCAATAGGAAAAAGACTGCACCCTATCAAAGGCAGGAAACTGGAGACTTGGGAAAACAAGGCAGTCCCTTCGAGTTCTGGATCTCACAGGTTTCACTGTATAAATCAAAGACGTATCCCGTTATCAAAACATTTATTCTGTTCAAGTTTAAAAAGGATTTAAAATGCATACGATTAAATTTAAAAAGAGTGAAAAAAAAAAAGTAGTTGGAATATCATATCTTCAGAAATGAAAGAACAATGGTAAAAAGAGTGTACAGGTTAAAACTTCTAGCAAGTTTGAAATTTCCCCAAGGTAACAAAAAACATCAATGAGAAATTTTCACAGAAATTTAATTTCCCAAAGAAAGTTTTATCTCTCAATACATATGTAATAAACATTCAACCAGCAGCTCTACACTTTAGTTAAACTCTTTTTGGTCAACCCAATGACCAAGGCATTCTGGAAGGTTCTTGAACTCTCCAAACAAATGCCAAATGACAAGATGCCATTTTGGAGAAAGAGCCTAGCAGGGCATTTGAGAAAACGAATGTTCATCCTAGGATTCTAGGGAATAGAAATATTTTACATGAATATTCTTGTTTAAGCTTTAGTCTAAGAACTAGGCAGTTTACAGCAGCTTACACATACAATCCCTCTTTCTTCTTTAACTATTATAATGAGCTGGACACAAACATAACCTAGATGAACATGTAGCAGAATCAAAGCAATGGAAAGCATTCACACCAAAGCTTTAGATGAAGAACAGTCCCTCAGTAATCACGAGTGCCTGATCTCAATACAAACATTTGAAGAAGAGGCACCACAGGCCAACGTTTCAATTTGTCATTGTTCCAACAAATCTTTACTTAGCGTCTAGAATATCTAAGGTTGTTCTTCTACATTATAACATGATTTTTAGGTCACTAACACAATCTCACATTTAAAAAAAACAACTTATTTTCTTTCTAAATACAAAATAAAGCATAAGTAAACAATATACCTAACAACGGAGCCCTGGTGGCTCTATGGTTAAGACGTATGGCTGCTAACCAAGAGGTCGGCATTGCGAATCCACCAGCCGCTCCTAGGAAACCCTATGGAGCAGTTCTGCTCTGTCCTGTAGGGTTGCTATGACTCGGAATCAACTCGACAGCAATGGGTATACCTAATAACAGATCAAAAGCACAAAATAATAGTACCAGAGAGGGAACTGGAACTCTGCTCTACGAAATTTCTTCTGATACATTAATGACACATACACACACAAGCTCTGTGACTATAACCTGCCCAGCTTGTCCAAGGTGTACCTGACAAATCATAGATACCCAACAAACAGTATCATCATCGCCTTCAGCATCGTCTCAGCAGCTTGTCTTGGGCAAGATAAGCTTTGTCGCTTATTCATCCAGTGTGGACGCTGCAAGAATAAAAAGATTAGGGGAAATGGAATGTTCAGAGACCCTCTCACTGCACCTCTTCCAGTGTTAAAAGTGTGAACCTCCAATCTGCTCTCTATCCACAAAACATAACAGACACCATTTCTAACTGAAAAGGACAATTCTATCAATGTTTTGGCCCAAAGCTTACCCTGGGCATGGCCTTAGTGTAGTATAAGCATCAGGCTGTCAACAGTCTGGATGAGAGATCTGGATGAAATGGAGCAGCTGACTAGTAGCTTTGTCACATCACCGGCCACGTTCCCTGCATAAATGCAGATAAGGAGGATTTTCTGACCGAAATCAATCCCACAGAGAGCAGGGCTAACAGCCT